TCTCTCTGTCTGTCTGCCTGCCTGCCTGCCTGCCTGTCTGTATGTGTGCGTCTGTATATAAATAAGTGCTGTGCGTACGTGCATATGTGTGTGTGTGTGTATATGTGTAACATGCTCAATGCGTGTATATACATGGGATGTGGTGCCGAGGGTTGAGGGTTGTTTTAACTTCAGGGGTCAGGGTTAAACTGGCTGGTAGGGCTTAGGGAAGGGCGACATATCGGAAGTGCTGAGCGAAGCAGAACTTTCTCGTCCTTGTTCAAACTGCAGTTCAGGGGCCTGCTGCAGTAGGTGCAGGTCGTCTTGACCTGCACGACAGCTGTGCGCTCCTGCTACACTTGAAAACCAGACCCTGAACCTTTACGATTTGGGGTTTGGGTCCGGGATGCGGGGTTTGGGGTTGCAGACGCCGGAGCCCCTTAACCCTGGAGACATCCCCTAAACCCTAAACCTGGGAGACATCCAGGGCCTCTTCGATGGAGTCTGCCAGCTCCATCAGCCGTTGGGAGCCGGGAAACAGCCGGGAGCGGAAGTCCGTTCCTTCCCAACTTGTTAGGGGTTTAGGGTTTAGGTTTAGGGGTTTTCTTTTTGTTGAACGCATTTTTCCTTCTGGGGTTGACGGTCTAGGGGTTCAATAACATGTCGCGCTTCATGTATAGCTGTTCAGCTATTTACGTGGGTTTGGGTGTAGATCTGGGCAGGATTCACTATCGGGCGCTTCAATTATAGTTGGAAACGACTTTGGACGGATATACTCGAAGCCGCATGCCTGAAGCAAAATATTGTGAGAAGCTCGTGACGATGCCTTGCAGGGCATGGCCTGGCAAAAGCAATGTTGTAAAGGTCTCAGGTGATGCACGGCCCTTGGACCCCCTGACCTATGATGTCCCGTACATACTATGCCCTATACGGTCAAGTGCAAGAGTAACACTCACCCAAAGCACCACCTGCAAAATTCCCCAGGCTGCACACCGAGAATCATGCACATTACAGAGCGGAAAGCCACAAGTGTGCTGAAGCTCAACGTACAGCCTAACCCTTGGAGCACCAGAGCCCGAACAGTCGAAGCCGCACGCCTACCTTAATCCACATGATGGCCCCAAATCCCTGAACTCCTCCAGCCATTACTACGTGACTGTCTGTTGGACTCAGAGATTCGAAGGCCGAAGCACATGACCGGCACGCCTGGCGAGAAGGCAGCGACTAGAGGCATCCTCCACCCTCCCCTTTGCCTACGACAGTGCCACAAAGGCTTAATGGGGAACCTACACAATGAAATTAGGAGTTCGTGTCACTTCGTGTATCAGTAACCCTCCCAACCGCATCCACCAGTGAATGCCTGGCCACATCTACCAATCACCAAGATCTTCAGGCGCGCAAGCCCGAAACGCTGAACCCCTTCCGAATGCAGCACCAGAAGTTGTCTCCGAGGACAGAAGGGTCGTACCTACAGCAAGTCCGCATAGGAGCCGAGTCTCCGGTAGGCACTACGGTAGGTCCAACAAGGGCCCCAAGGTGTGGCATAGAATAGAAGTGGGGGAGAAGAAAACAGGCATCTACACAGAGATAGAGACACCAACAATCGATAGCTAGATTTCATGCATGCAGGACTATGTGCCTTCATGTATTGAGGTCCCAGATGCCACAGCACACCGACACAAAGAACCTGATTCGAAAGAAGGTAGCATCATGACAAGGCATCCTCGCCAGACCCCCTCATGTTCCCACGGCAGCAAGCCATCTCAACTCTTTCTAGACATTATGAGCTCGAACACCGTCAGGCAAGAACGGCAAGAATAGACTGAAGATAAGGGCAGTTGTCAAAATTAGGGTCCCTTTTGGGGTACCCTAAAGAATAGGTGCCGTATTATAATCAGGACCCAAAAAGGGACCCTAGTTTTGACAATCACCCATATGCAAAGAGAGCTCCCGAACTGCTGAGCAGCATCAACCTGACAAAACAACGGAGAAAGCTCGCCACGACACACCCCAGGCCCCGAACACCTAACCCCACACCCTCCACCACTAGCCAAGAAGACTTGAAACCCTCAACCCCGAACGTGAATCCTGCAGCATAATTGAACCCCACGCCCCAAGTTCAACATCGAACTCTGAATCTACTAAAGCCCTCATTGGGCCCTCATGGGGGTTTCCGAAAATAGGGGCTACATAATAGGATCCCCATTATAAGCACCCCAAAATAAGGTAGCCTAATTTTCTGAAACTCCCTCATACATCCCTGAAAACAACCATGGAATCCTGGAGCTCTCTCCGGCCCCGCACCTTGGATCGTCGCAACCTGTCGAAGCCGCTCCACCACGCAAGGGTCCAAAAATTGCGCCTGCGATTTAGCCACAAGCAAACAAACCAACGCCTCGGGTGCTTAGGGCTGAAAGCAAACGATTTCAGACCGTTCAATTTTTTTCGGCTTGGATGCAGGCTTTGCTATGGCGGTTTGATTTTGGGGTGTGGTGAAAGACAGGAAGAAATCAAGGCTTGTTCTGGGTTGGGGGCGAAACTAGGGCTGGGTGGCCAATGAGAGTGAGAAGGCGTCTGAAGTTTCGGGGTTTAGCTGTTTCAGTTCCTTTATAATATACACTTCAGATTTGCCATTCCGGTCTGTGGTACCGGGTTTAGGTTCAGCACAAAGGTCTGAGGAAATAGCATGTACATACTCTGACATAGTCTCTCCGCAGCTCCTACACAGAAAAATCGTCGGCCCCCGACCTCGTCCACGAGCACGCAGCTCACCTTGCAAGATGAACATGCTCGCTTGCCCGGGATCGAAGGCAGAAACTAGCAAGCTCTGTGCTCAACACCCGACGCCCGACGACCTAAGCCACCTCCAGGAAATGCGGCTGAGAAGATGCACTCGAACTTCTGTGGCCCCCTCTTGTGACGAAGAGCCCTGAAGGGCATAGCACACACACACACGACAGCGAACACGAATCCTTGATCGCGAAAGGTGCCGAAATCAACCAACAACCGTCTAATAGTGCAAACAAGCCTCTGAAGCCCAAACCCAGAACCCTAAACTAAACCAAATGGCTCGAAATTTGTGAACCCACTCGGACACCAAAGCCCAAACCCGGAACTCCTTCTTCTTATGTGCCACGCGGGAAACTTATAAAGCCTGAAGTTCCGGAAAGAGTTGTCCTTAATTAGGTCCTTTAAGGTTTTGGGGGACCTGAGATGTCAACTGCCCCAAGAAGATGGAACTGCTTTAGATGCTCCAACCGTAGGCAGAGGGACTCCGAAGAACTGCTCCGAAGTGAAGACTGACTCCCCGGTAAGGAGCACGTCAGCCTGCGGAGTGAGTTTCCTTTCTTCGGTGGGGGGGGGGGGAGACGGGGTGGTTGGTTTCCAGGACCGAGTTCTTCAGCACCGCTGTTCAAACAAAAGCAACATCTAGATCATAATGTGAGAATAACTAGTTTTGTAGCGGATACTGCTACCAACTTGAATTTCGGATCGGCCTAGGTTACAGCAGGCCTCACGCTCCAATCCAGCACGGCTCGTCACGAGGCCGACCCCGAAGCGAGTGTCCAGCTTCGGTTTCATGACGAGCACCTCCCCCCAACACGGGAGTTTGAAGGGCGTTGCAGTTGGGCATGTGAGTGGCCTTGTTAACTAAGATAGGGTTTTGAGGATAAGCTCCGTGCATGTGCGTAGATGATTCGTATACCAGTTTCTGGCATAAGGTTTGCGGGGTTTGTATGGTTTGGAACTCTTTGGCAGCTTTGACCGCCAGCCAAACTCTCCCGCACTTCCGGCCAGATGACAGGCAATGCAAGTAGGGTTTGGTGCTTAGGGAAAGAATGCCCAGAAGAAACACAACGATGCAGGAGCCTGCGTATCAACAACTGCCCGTTTTACGAAAGCAAAATGTGCCCCACAACCGAACTCAGCTCTCTGGAAGACCACCCCCCCGAGCCCTGTCCTACCCGAAACCCTCGAGCCCAAGAACCGAAACTCATCCGCTCGATCTTATCGGTTTCTGAAAGTCGGGTTGCAAACTCAACAACGGGTTTGTCAGAGTGTGTGCACGGTTCATGGCTTGGGGTCCTACGTCTTTGTGATTCAGAATTGAAAGCCTGAGGTCGTTGCATGCAGGTTCCGGGTTTCAACAAGGATAGGAGAACGGTTTCGAGGTTCGGACGGACCCAGGATGGGGCAGGCCGAAACTCCTCAACCCTTGGGCGGCGGCTACATGCTCAAAAGATGGAACTCTGAAGAACAAAAAAAGCCCTCCGGCGGTAGGGTCTCTACTCGAACCCTGCGAAGGAGCTTCTACGTAGGACTCACATGGTTTAGACGAAGCAGACCTTCAAGGACCCGGGGGTTTAAGGTGAAAGATGTCGGATGCTGAGGTTGAACACCCCAGGTCTGAGCCTACTTGGAGGATCATTAGTAATTGAGGTTATAAGTCCCTTAATTGGGGTTTAGGGTTTAGGGTTTAGGGTTTAGGGTTTAGGGTTGAGTAAGTAAGGTTATAAGTCCCTTACTTGGGGTTACAAGTATAGTGACCTTAGTTATAACCCTACTTACTAGGTCCCATGATCCTTTAAGTAGGGTCGAGGGTTCATAACCAAAGCCCTGCCCGTGATCAGCCCCAGAACGGTTCTCGATCCTGGCCTTCTTTGACTGCCTTGGTGGGCGACGAAGACGGACAACACCCGAAGAAACCGACGAAGGCATGATACGAAATTCCAAAGGCAAAGAGGAGGAAAGCTTAAACCCTAAACCCTAAACCCTAAACCCTAAACCCTAAACCCATACACCAAAATTTGCTTCCAAGCTCTCTGTCTGGGCTTCGCTCAGGAGCACTTGAAGTTTACAGGTTTCGGATTGCGGTTTCGGGTGTAAGGATCTCCGCCGATCTGAGGGGCTGCAATGGCAAGGAGTCATGGGGGGAGTATTGCTATAGGGATTCATCAAGGTTTCAGCACCCTAAACCCTAAACCCTAAACCGTAGTTTAGTCTTGCCTGAACCCCCGACGGACTGAGACCAACCCCAGCCCGGACAGTAAGAGCCCAAGCAACAAGTCACAAATCCGAACAGTCGGTTTTAGGGTTTAGGGTTTAGGGTTTAGGGTTTAGGGTTTTGGGGTCTGCAGAAAGTTGAGACGTCGTGATAGGCTTGGAGGGCCCAGCAAGTCAAGTCAAGGCGAAGGCTGTTGGATTCGAGCCTCTGCCCCCAACATTCAACCCCAAACTCTACACCCTCGGGCCCATGGCTCTAAACTTAGGCACAAGTGCCTGTAGTGAAACAGTGCATGCAATGCGAAAAAAAACACCGGGACTTCCGTTTCTAACTCTTCACCCTGGGCCCTTAACCGATATCTACCCTTGACATCCCTCGACTATGATTACAAAGCCGTGTTCAGGGTGTAGGGTTCATGGGTTTAAAAGGTTTAGTATTGATGGACCCTTCGGTGCGTTCCGGCCGAAGGGACATCTCGTAGGAGTGGGCGATCGCCAGGAGGTTCAGGGTTTTAGCAGAGCCCATGGCACCATGCCGGAAATAGAGCTTGGCCTCAGTGTGGAAGTTGTATTTTTACATCCTACAGCCTATAGAATATGGGCCAGAGTCCAACCAGGGAGAAGCACTAGAAACCACTCGAAAGAGTCCCATGCGGGTTGCGGAGTGAGGGTTTCAGCGCCGACAACACAAGGCCAAAGACTTAGCTTGAGGTTTCTCAGAGTCTGCTGGTTGTCTTAATAGCAAAGCCAGCTATGCTCAGGTGTGAGGCTAGGGAACTCCAGTTCAAGCTTTGGGCAGACGCTGTTTATTGGGCCCAGGGCTTTACGCCCTGGGAACTCACTTGCCGAGGCTTTGAGCGGAAGTCTTTGGAGACTATGACTACAGCTACGATTCTCATTCCCAACTGGAGCCGTCCTTTATCAGTTTGCTAAGCACATCTGCATTGTTCGGGATTCTGCATGAGGTTCGACGCGTCTCTTCCTTCCCGCTGCAGTCTTGACCCAGATGACGCACAAAAACCGATGCCGAGCATGGCAACTTGGAAGTTGCGAAGTTGCATCCTAAGCACTATGCCCCACGACACCAGCCAAATTGGTTGTCCTTCCCGGAAGCTGAGTGGTAGGCCATGGTTTGGCAGGAAAGGCAGCAGGCAGCTCAGTCGGGCAGCTTTGATGCTTGCGAGCCGAGACCCAGGCCAAGAGTCAAGCCCAACAACGATTTTGTCTCACCCGCTTAGCTGGCGATGTCGCGGCAAGGACGTAGGGTTTAATTCGGGTTTTGGGCTTGAGCTCTCGGGTTCCACTCGTGGGCCCTGGACAGTGCCAGAAATTCAGCAGATTTGGCGCTTCTCTTTCATGTTGCGTTGGTCTAGCTGTTTTTTATTTTTGGATCCTTTGAACGGAGTGTTGGGTTTCGGGCGTGAAAGTTCCTCACTCGAAATCTCAAAGTCTCCATCGAAAACCCGGGGCCTCATCGCCCCGATTTGCGCCCTCCAGCCCCACAACGAAGAGACTATCAAGGGCTGCGTTTTTGGAGGTCGCAATAAACTGACCATCAACTCAACCCCACATCCCAAAATTAAGTCTCAATAGGACGCCAGTGCCAAGCTCGTCAAGTTCGGATCTTGCATGGAAGGCATGTTTTGCCGGGTTCGTCGCTGAGCGAGTCTTTGCATTCGAGGACACCACGGAAAGGTCGTTGGTTTATAGTTTATAGGTGTCTAGCAGGATAGGAGGGGAACCGAACCTTCAACATCTCAATCCTACTACAACTACTGCAAAACGTCAAAAGTGTGATGAGTCAGTCGCCTGCGGCTTCGGGCACGAGGAAATGAAGGGCTCTTAACTTAAAAAGGGGGTTCATGCTTCTGCAGGGACTGTGGAAAAGAAGGGACTATTACTGTGGGTCTGGGAGTTCGTAGCCATGGGATGCCAAACATCTATAGAGTTTGACGGGATCCTTGGTCCTGGGATTTTACAGTACCTAAGCCTCCTCAGACGCTCAGGGTTCTCAGAAAGTTTGGTACGTCTTCCGGAGACAACTCAAAGGGCTTGCAGCACGCTCCAGTCTAGGGGCGTAGGGTTAAGAGCCAAGACATGGTCTTCCTCGAACGGAACCTGTGGCGTCGGCGCTGGCCATCTTTGATGTGGCAGCAGCCGAATCTGCAGCTAGGACTCTACCGCGCCGCCAACAGAGCATTCTTTGCTGTTGGCTGGCGCTAAAGTCCGGCAAATTAGTTTACAGGCTCAAGACGTTGGAGCAGGGGGTTTGGGGTACCGGAAAGCCGGGAAGCTTCATGGGTACAAACACGGGGCCAGATGTAAGTCTCTCACTGCAAAGCTGGCGGCTCTGCAAATACTCGCTCGAACAATACTACAGCTTAAAACTCAGCATTCAGGCTCCGAGTTAGAGATGCCTCCCTACCTTTAACTTGCCTTCAAGGCTTCTTGGCCGGATGATTTCGGAAGAGGGCCTCCCAGTCTTGAGCCACGAATTCGCGCCAAGCAATTTAAGCTTAGGTGCATTGAGGGCTTGGGGTTTAGGGGGCCAAGAGACTGATTCAGGTAGACTAAGCAGCCCGAAACATGTTTGTCAACAGGACGACCCTGTGAAGGGCACAGCCAAGTTCGCAAACCGGTCTGTCAGGAACGCGTAGCCTTGGTGCGATGTGCAAGCTTGAAATGAAAGTGTCACTCAGGGTCGAAGACTTTGGGGGCACAGGTTCAAGCGTGCGAAATTCCAAATTTCCTAAACCCTCGGCCCATCGAGGATCGGACACCCTAATCTTATCTAAGCTCTCCCCTCGCACAGGGAATCACGAAGTTCCCGGCAGTCCAAACCCTACAGATGCATGAGAACCCCTGAAACAACCAAGCACCGGCCTGAGCTCAATTTAAATCGGCCCTTGGGCTTTGAAGTGTTTAGGTCGGGGAGCCTGAGGTCTCCAAGGGCCAGGGGCAGTAGAATATCAAGAGCTGCAAGTTAGTTAGTGCGCTTGAATGGAATCAGGGGATGGATGCCGAGGCAGCGACAGAAAGCCACCCGATAGAAGTTGTGTCCTGGCACCAGGCTGTGGGCACTCAAAATGCTCTCAGATTTACAACCCATTACCACCAGGAATACGTCCTTGATGCTCACACTGGTTCAGGTCCGTACGATACTGAAGGCAGGTGTTCATCGGTCAAGGCTGTATTCATCTGCTTACAGGCGCAGATCTACAACACCCAGCTTTCCGAAGCAAGTGCTGATTTGCACCTGCCCTTCAAACAGCTTAAAATAGTTCAAAACATAACGAACTCTGATGCTGATTTCTTATAATGCAGCCACCCAGAATGCGACAGTGGAGATCTCAAGGCTCATGCAACTTGGGGCTATTGATTTGGAATAAGTCCCAGGGCCTCTGCCTTCGAGCTCTTGTGCCATCGTGCAGAGGTTAAGAAAGTGGAAGCACAACCCCGAACGGCTCACCTAAAAAGGCCCGAAAGGGATTGGGACCACGGATGTCGGGATCCGGCCTTTTGGGTATCTCTGGTCGAAAGTGAACTGCGGGTTGGGCTTGCGGTATGGAGTCTTTCAAATGCAAAATGCACTACAGACTCGATGTAACGCTGGCAGGACGGATGCGTGCATCCACACAGGCTGCGCAGGTACGGTGAAACTTCGATACAGAATGTCTCACAATATCTACACGAGGATCTCGAGAAGTGCACAGGCTGAACATGTCTAGACAGAGAGCATGCGGTCCTGCAAATGTCAGGCAGCGCTGGTATGTGGCTATGACCCAGGGCAGTGAGCAAGTATCTCACTACAGAGCTGGTAAACACCAAGTACTCCCGCATGCATCTGCGTATGTATGTGTGGTTGCCAATGAAGACCGTGACCCCAGTGCCCAAGGGGCGCACTTCCATCATCCATACCGACCCGCTGCTGAGAGTGCATCTCCACCAAGACTCCTGCACATGTAAAGCTCAGGGGAGGGAACACTCAAGACCCAAACCAGGTAGCCGCTAGTGTTGGGCTAGTTGTGATTGCAGGAAACTGCAGAAGCGAAGCCAACAAAACAATAAACAGTCGAAGTTGCAAACCATTGCGCTTAGCATGCATCCAACCCACCCATGACTCGAGACGTGACTAATCCATGAAACCTGCTCAAGCAGGCGACTGTCACATCCTACTGACCGTTCTGCCTCAAGAAGTCCTGACAACCCAGCCACCCCCTTAAATAGCACTTCTACAAAGGTTTTCATCACAGGGCTTCTTCGGTCTCAGCCAACCCCACGCAACTTTCTTCCCTACTAAGTACCAGACAGTTTTGGAGGTGTGCAGGGCTCGGAATTTAGGGTGTAGAGATGTGACAGGGGTTATGTGGGTTGATGGGGGAATGGATCCCTGTGATAGTCCCTTAAGGTCTATTATAGTAGTCCCTATAACCCATTCCCCCATTCCCTACGAAGCACCAGGCAGAATTCCCAAAACCCTAAACCCTAAACCCTAAGCCCTAAAACCCTAAACCCTAAACCCTAAACCCTAAAACCCTAAACCCTAAACCCTAAACCCTACCCACGAAAGCTCTCCAGGCCTGTGCTTCCATCCGTGCAGTTCACATCCGAGAGCTGCCAGGCCATGTCATCCACAAACTTCCAGGACAGGCTTCCTTGCTTGACTTGGGTTTAGGCCTTTAGGGTGTAGGGTTTAGGGTTTAGGCTTTAGGTTTTAGGGTTTAGGGTTTTGGGTTTAGGGCTCTGGGATTGAGGGTTTTTTGTCAGGATTTCGGGGCTTAGGGTTCAGGGCTCACACTCACACCC